AACAGCAGTATGAAATTAGCAAATTAATTTGGTTTTCGGATTAATATAAGATTAACCATCTGTACACTAGCTTGCAGGATCGATTGAGTGTATACAGGCTGCGTATATGAAATTTAAAATTAAAATTTAATTTAAAATTAATTATCATGCATTCAAATTTGTCAATATATTGAAAATTAATCCATAATTAATATACAGTTATGCACTGGAACTGAATTACCCTTTTCTATTCCAAATCGATTGGCAATGTACAAAACTTACTTTCAATATGCAATTGGCATTATCGACTATGCATCTAACTCTGCACTCAGCTAACATCAGTGCTTTGTTGGAGACTATGTCCATAATCTCTTTTTCCCCCATTTTGGCCACATTGTTAGCATCAAATCCAGCAAAAACTTCCCTGCGAGTACAAACAGTTCCTCATCAGTACGAAAGTAAAGAAGAAAGACATCAAAATAAAAAAAAAAAAACCTTGATTGGATTTCTCTTTGTTATGATAAAAGGAAATTAATTAAGGGCCCAAATGGTTGTTAATGACCCAAAAAAAAAAAAATTGTACGTGTTACTCTAGCTTCCGTATACAATAATCCAATGAGTGTACACTCAAATCAAAGTATATATAAGCATTACATTTTCTAATGTACGATCAATTTTGACAAAGTGAAAGTATATATATTCGCGAGTATCGATCGATTGCTCCTCTTGAAATGCAAGCAAAACTTATACCTGAATAATTCTTTCCTTTTTAGAATTTCCGTCCAATTGAAATCCATCAGCATCCCGGATAATGCTAGCAGCTCGAAGAGTTGACTGTTGAATTCGTTCAACAAGAATAATTTTAGTCCTTGAATCCCATGATCAGCCATGCATGCATCAATCAACCTTTACAATTATCAAAAAAAAAAAGAATATCTGCACTTACTGGTCATCATAAACTGGAACTCCCCAGCATTCGTCATGAAATTGTACGTAAATATTATCTGCACATGAAGTTCATTTAGTCAAAAGGGTTATTGGTACTCACCTACTTCAGCAAGCCAAAATGTTAACGTTGTCTTCAAAAATATTGATAAAATGGTGAATTTTGGAATAGGGAGTGAATGATTAATTAAGTTCAGAGAAATTCATATTGGTAAACACATGAAAGCAACAGTATATCAACACTAATAAACATCGGCTTTTCTTGAGCAGCGAAGTGGTTGTAACAACCATACTATTCAATAACATATGCTGCATGAATCTGGCCAGTGACATTACTCAAATTAATTCAAATCTTTTTTTTTTTGGGAAAGCAAGTATAATAGTATTGTTTTTGATAATTCAATGTCTTCAGTTAACTGAGCACACGAATGATTCCACGTCCTACTCCAGCCGGCCAATCTTGTTATAGTAATCAATTACTATAGCTATGTTAAACCTGATTTAGCAGTTGATTATTTTGGGTTGGAATTTAATTTTATTGCAACCATAAGAACCAACATGTACATATGCACATGAAAAGCATATACTCAGACTAAGGACAAATGATGTCCAGACTTTTCTTGTTAATCGATCCACCAAATTTTTGTAAGTTTAATTTTGTGTTCGAGAATTTTTATACTAGTAATCTGTTCCCTTAATTGAAGATGGTAGTCTCTCCGAATATAAAGCAGTGTGACGTGAGTGTAATATTTCCTATTCCACGGTGTGAAAAATCTTAATTATCTTCCATTCTTTTTTTTATTTGTTTGCAAATAGGAGATATTGAATTCAGGACCTTTTATTGACAATTTCAAATTATCTTCCATTCTTATTTGCAAGTGCAATCCTTCATTGTCTAGTAATACACGAATAGAAATTGTAAGCTTTCGCTTGGTTGAGAGAAATGAGAAAAAAAAAAAAGGTGAAATTTTGCAATGCATCAAATAATGCCTTACCACTATTTTTCGTAATCCAGTTGCACCTCCTAAACCCTTCTTCCCCAGGTTCTGTACAGGCCGCTTCAGTAGTAGGTTTTTGGAAAGTTTTGGCAACTGGGACCTCTCTTCTTTTAGGCGATTCAATAAGACGGAGTGCCAATGCAATCTTTTGATCCAGCTGAGATGAAGAATCCGCGAGGGAAGAATCGTTTGAGTTTTGAGACAAGGATAATGATAACGAAGAAAGTGAAAGAGATGAGCAAGTCTTGTACAGCCCTATAGGGTACACTTTCTTCATGTGTTTCGATAAAAAACTAGCAGCACTTCTTTGCTTCTCATTTTCTTTAGAACTGCTGATATTTTTGTTGATCTTCTCCAGAGAATACCGTTTTGGATTTTGCTTGGACATGGTAGCGAGAGAAGAAATGAAGAAACGAAAGGAAGTGTATGCTTTGAATTTGGTAGAAACTTCAAAGATGGTTTAGCAGTTTATATGGAGAACAGGACTCGGAAGAAATAAATACAAAAGGTGGTTGGTGCTATGTGAGTTTCACTACAAGGCGCTCCTTTTGCTTCTTAGTTCTAAAGCAAAACCAATAAAACAACATCGGATTTGTAAAATATTATGCTTTGAAAGTGACACTACAATTTGAAAATAGCAGATGTAAACTAGCTGTGTTGACCAAGGAAAAAAGAAAGGATCGAACTTCCTATAAGTATAACATATGTTGTTTCTTGATCAGTGATATTCGTGTTTTAGGTTTTGAGATAAAGAGTAACATAGTTCAGCAGATATATGCCAAGTGAAAGTATCGACTGATTCGATGCTGTAGCTCTAAGCTGGATTTCAGAAGATAAAGGGAGTCAGCAAGATGAACTAAATTAGATTAAGGGAGGAAGGAATCTAATTGCAGAAACATAATTGTTGCAACAGATTCAATTATTTTGGACAAGTGACTGAGAAGATGATTAGATCATTACCATTTACTAGTAGTAAATTATTTTTACTTGTGTGAGTCAACACCAGAGGGCCTCTCCTACGTTTTAATCCTTGGATGGGCAAACTTGTTCTCTAAGACAATGATTAGAACAAAAAAGAAAGGGAGAATGGAGTATGAACGTATATTTTTAGGTGATTATATATGCACGTCTGATCATATCTAAAAGAACTGATGAACTATAGCTATAGCACTATCTTAACTATATTAACTCCTATTAGCCTTCCATACCTTCATCAATTAATGCCTTTTTCATTGTATAATAACAAGAACAATTGTTGAAAGGAAAAGAAAAAGGAAAAACAAAAGCTTTGGTCTAAAGGAGTGATTATGGAAACATAGTGAATGTCTTTAATAAAATTACTTACTATCCAAAATATAGTTAATTAAGGCAGACTCCGATTAGTGGTTGTAAATTAACCAAGCTATGTAGGATGAATTGGGGGTAGCCAATTACTCTATATGTAGATGAATCACCAGCATCAAGAACCACAATCAATGAAAAAAATTGGGGGGTAGCCAATTACTATATATGTAGTCACTTTTCTTGTTTACTATCTCAGCAATTGCTAATCATAATTGTTAAAACCCTTCAAGTTTCAAAGCTTGCCACAACCCAATTATTCATATCCCAATTTTAGTTGAAGCGTTTGTCTCATTGCAAGAAAAATGGGTCCGCATAATTCTTTATGCCTACTCATTTGCACTCAAAAAAACTCTTGAGGCAAACAGATCGCCAACATAGATAAAGATATAGCATCCATCGACCATTCTTTTCCTCATATATTCCCCTAGCCAGACCTTATCTACAATTCTACTCCTTATGCTTCAACATCTTACAGCTGAGCTGAGGCCTTCTGAACAGGGTATCTCCCCACTCCTCATTCATGGGATAAGGATGTTCATACCTTAATTAGTTGCTGAAAATCCAGCCCAACGTATAAAAAGAAATGTTGCTGACAATACATCCGAGCTTAATTAAGTACTGTTCACCAAATAAATTGCAACTTTTGACGTCCTATTAACATCATGCATGAATCCCTTAAGCCTACAATTTTGAACTCATGTGGAACGAAATATATATATAATCTAATTGACTCCAATTATTTTTTGATATTCTTTTCGCTAAAAACCTACAATAGTCAGTCATCCAGTTACCAAAGGAGCTGAAGTTGTTGGAGTGGTTTGGAAGGTCCGTTTTAAAGAGATTGGTGACCTTTGTGACCAAAAAAAATGTTAAACGAGCAACCGGCACAATTTTAAATAGTTTGATGACTTTTTTGGCTATTTACTCAATATATAATCTATGGGAGAGTTAGTTCTTTGTATGTGTGATATATATGTGAATAACATATAGATACCTATTGGTATAAAACCACATTATTCTTATAAGCTTGATCATTAGGAATGGCATTAATCTAATGTATTCAAACAAGTTTTGGGAGTGTAGTTTTGTAGGTTGGTATGACATGTTTTCTTCTGAAAACTTCATGAATCTTGTTCTTGTGCAACTCCTATAGCGCTGGATGAAATTCAAGTTTACAAAATTTTAATTCCAAAGCAAGTTCTCAAACGCAAAATTCTTTTGGCAAAAAAAGAAAAGATGTCAATTTTACCATAAAAAAGGTCTAGGTAGTTTATTTTCAATATGAAGTTCAACAACCATCTATAAATGCCAAATGTAGACCTTACTCTTCAACGCCAAACCTTTTTCACTCATATACATGTGCTTTCAAATCTTATAAATCGAAAAACTAATAAATTACTTTTTTTTAACGTGATATGGCATGACTAATTTATATATAAATATATCAATCACTAAACAAATCAAATCATTTCATATTGTTGTACACATATATGCACACACATGTAAGTATTTTAGATTTCATTACGACTTAGGATTGGTAAAAGACATGTTTTTCTCCCATATGAGCAAAAATTGAACATATTTAAGGTACTATTCCCAAATAAGTAAATGGGAGGGGGTAAATGAAAAGGTCCTTCAAAATAATTTGCAGAAAAATGAACCGAGCAAAAATTTTTTAAAAAAAAAATCAACAACGGTTTCCTTAAACCCTAGCAAATGAAAATCCCCCAAGTGCTCCCTCTTTCTTGCCTTCTAAAACCCCCGTCACTCCTCCTCCTCCTCCTCTTCCCAGGATGCTCCATTCCAATCCCTAATGCATCGCTTAATTCTCAAGCTTTCAAAAAAGCCACCAAAGTATTCCCTTACCTCCCTCTTCTTCTTCAGGCCCATATTCTCCTACGCCACCTTGGCCGCTGTTAACCATCTTGAAGTCCCGCCAAACGACGTCTCTTCAGCAATTTTCACCCGCCTCATTAACTTTAATTACGGGGACAAAAGGGGTTTTGCTAAACGTCTTGGCCGTGACCCAGAATTTAATACCTTAATCTCGGGCTTATCTGCACCGGAAGTTGATGGGATTCTTGAGAAATTGAGAATTAAGTACCCGGAAACTGCTTTGGATTTCTTTTTCCTGTTGAAGAACGAATATGATTTTAAGCATTCAAGAGATTCTTGTCTTTCTATTGCTCATGTTTTGGCCAGAAAAGAAAGGTTCAGAGCCTTGAAGTTACATTTGCTGCAAATGGTTCACCTAGAAGGTGCAATTACAACCATGCAATTCATTTTTCTTAATGCATTGCTGTAAATTGGGAAAAAAATTTGTGTGGTAGACGCGCTTTTATCAGAATCTGTGGTAATTGTATTAGCTGAATGCAGTGATTTTTAGTTACTGTCCTATTGAATTATGTAAATGGTGGAGGATTTCAGATAAGCTGGTGCTTTTTTGGATATGTTGTTGTTAATGAAGTGATAAAGTTGATGTTTTTGACTTTATGAAGCAGAAAAAATCAGGGTTAAATTGCCTTTTGGCTTTGAAAATTTCTAGTATGATTAGTGAATAAGATTTTGAATATCTCTAGAAATAATAAAAATGGATAGATTGATAAGCAGTTGGGTTAAGTCAAAATGGAGTTGGGGCACATGCACGCTTATATTGTGCGTTTTTAGATGAAAAAATATTGAATGGCTTTAAAGTTAAAAATCTTTGCAATAAGCAAATCCGTATTATATTTCTTGGGATGTTTAATACTATTTACAGCCATATTGTTGTGAAAAGTTAGTTCTAGATAATTTTTGAAGCAAAACTAACTTGTTAAACAAAGTTTAGCTCCCAAGATTGCTTAGCCATGATTATCTTAGCAGTAAAAAGTTGTTGCTAACTTGTTTGCGTGTTAGGGGATAAACATTCTACATTCATGGAACTTCAGATTCATTCACATTTAATTGAAAATGGAATTAAAAAGCATTTGTGGATAGAGCTCCATGTTAGTAACATCCTTCTTCTCCCCTCCACTATCGTCTCTCAACACTTGTGGTGGCTGAAAACATTAAATCATAATGTCATAGAAACATGGAGTTCGCTCTAACAGATTGTCTGTCCTTCCATTTCTGGTCGGATTATTTGTTTTGTGTTGTAGTGGAGCTATTTTATGTGTGCTTTTAGGAATCTCTAGTTGACATCTCAGAGCTGAATATTTCAATATTGATATCAGCTGCGAAAGCTAGAATATCTCTTTACATTTTTCATTTTCTGTTTATATAGAGTTCTTGTGATTTCCGTTAGGCTCTGGCTCTGCACCTTCACTTTGTGAGCTGCTTTCCAAAGGCTTCAGGGAATCAGATTTCAGTCATACGGTTTGGGATATGCTGGCTTTTGCTTACTCCAGATCTGGGATGGTGCATGATGCACTCTTTGTCCTTTTCAAGATGAAGGATTTGAATGTTCAGGCTTCCATCATGACATTAAATGGTTTATTGTACAATTTGAGGCTCACTGATGTAATGTGGGACATGTATGATGTGATAAAAGCCAGTGGGATTCGTCCTAGTAGCTATACAAATTCCATTATTATAGATGGTCTGTGCAGACAGTCCTTGGTTGAAGAAGCAGTTGCATTTATGCAAGAAGCAGAAAAGGAAGAATCTGGGCCTCGTATAGTTTGGTTGAACAATCTCATGACAGGTTTCTGTAAATTGGGTTTTGTGAATGTGGCAAAGTCATTCTTTTGTATCATGCATAAATGCGGTTTACTTCCTGACACCTACAGTTACAATATACTTATTAATGGATTATGTATAGCGGGTTCTATGGAGGAAGCACTAGAGTTTACAAGTGACATGGAGAAGCATGGATTGGAGCCTGATATAGTGACTTATAACACTCTTGCAAAAGGTTTTAGTCTCCTTGGGTTGATGAGTGGGGCATGGAAAGTTATTAGTTTAATGCTGTATAAAGGATTAAATCCGAATCTTATCACATACACTATACTGATTTGTGGGCATTGCCAGACAGGCAATATTAAAGAATGTTTCAAGTTGAGAGAAGAGATGCTTTCACGGGGTATGCAGTTAACCAATATCTCATATGGTGTTATGATTAGCTGCCTGTGTAAGAGGGGAAATGTTAATGAAGCTCTGTCTTTATTTGATGAGATGAAAACTATTGGTCTAGAAGCAGATGTTGTGATTTATTCTATTCTCATTCATGGCCTATGCAAGCAAGGTCGGCTTCACCACGCTATTCATTTATACAAGGAGATGTGTTTGGAGAGAGTCATGCCAAACCTTTTCACTCAGCGATCCATTCTGTTAGCTCTGTCTGAGAAAGGGACCATAAAGGAGGCAAGGAGATACTTTGACACCCTGATGCATTGTGACTTATTGGAGGATATTGGTTTGTGTAACATTATGTTATATAGTTATGCAAAAGTAGGTTATATGGATGAGGCTATCCAGCTTTATCGTATGATCTTGGAGAAAGGAATTACACCAACTGTTGTCACATTCAATTCTGTAATATATGGTTTCTGCAAATCTAGACGACTAGCTGATGCTCGAATCTGGTTGAATGCTATTGAGAGTCATGGTTTGGTGCCAAGTGCTGTAACTTACACCACTCTTATGAATGCATTCTGTGAGGAACGGGATATGCAAGCTATGTTTAAATTGCTTAAGGAAATGGAAGCAAGGGCCATAGAGCCTACTCATGTTACTTATACAGTGGTCATAAAAGGGCTCTGCAGACAAAGAAAGGTGAAAGAAGCTGTTGGAGTACTCCAGGACATGTTTGCTAAGGGAGTCTCTCCTGATGAAATATCATACAACATCATCATTCAGAGCTTATGTAAAACCCAGGATATGAAAAGAGCATTCCAGTTACATGATGAAATGTTGCTGCGCAATCTTCAGCCTAATCATGTCACATATAATATTCTCATTAATGGTTTGTGTGTACGTGGGAACTTGAAGGATGCCGAAAAGCTGTTGGCTTCTCTTCAAGATCAAAAAGTCAGACTGACAAAGGTTGCTTATACCACATTGATAAAAGCACTTTGTGCAAAAGGTAATGTACATAAAGCAATAGTGCTGTTCCATCAAATGGTAGAAATGGGTTATCAGGTCTCAGTCAGAGATTGTAGTGCTGTGGTCAATAGACTTTGCAAAAGACATCTGATGAGTGATGCAAAAGCCTTCCTTCGTCTGATCTTGCAGTGTGGCATTGCCCTTGATCAACAAATTTGCTCAGTGTTGCGCAATAATTTATACCGAATTCATGATAAAGATATGATGGTTCAGTTATTAGCTTTAATGGTCAAATGTGGCTTCGATCGTGGTTGAACCCGTGAGAGATGGGTGATTAAGTTCATTGTTCACAAGGGTGAGGTTCTGCCCCGTGAAATTTTTGCTAAGGACTTGGCATCTGCACCTGCCTTCCCCGAACAAAATAGAAAGAAAATCAGTATTTTAAGAAGGAAAAGAAGAAAATGACCTTTTTCCATATGTTCCCTTATATGATTACAGGTGAACATTCACTGCCAACCTGTGGTTGGGTGCCGGTGGTGGCAAACTAGCAAAGACAAATTCTTTTGTCGGCAGACTCTTCATGTGTTTTTACTAAATGCAAGTACGTTTGCTCATGTGTTTCTTGATGTTTGTTGCTTGATACAATCAGTTTGGATAACTAGATACTAACATTTTTGTAGTGCTCTTTCTTTTTTAGGAGGTATACAGTTTTATTTTTTTGAAAATTAATTTGATTCCCTTGAGAATCATAGGCTGTTTCTTTGTTGAACACTTACTGATTTCTTCCTTCCCCTCTTTTTCGGTGCCGGAACATTTACATGGATATTTATGGTAGTCCTCTGTTCTCAAGTTAGTACGTTTCATCTTTTTGACATGGCATAAGGTAAACATCAGTTGCTTTCTACGTCACCTACTTATGTGTGGCTGCATAAGTTCTTTTCCTCTTGTTATTTGTACCTGGTCTTTCCTGTTTGCGAAGTCATTGATAACACTGCTCATGTTTGTGATTGTGGTGATCGCTCTGTTCTCATTGTAGTAATGACATTCTGCACATAATGTCCAGGAGCCTGGAGGATTTGAAAATTAGACCAGTTGGCCTTTTGCATCATGTTAAAGTTGGTCTTGAAGGAAACTTCACCGAATCTTTCTTGGCACAAAGGTCAGATTCAGTATTCTGATATTATACTTTTTGTGCTGAGGAGTCAGTTCCGGGCAACTTATCTCATGCTTGTTTTCTTGTCTATGTTCAGGTGCTTGTCTTCCTGTCTATGTTCAGGTGCAGCAAGAAACTATTTCTCGTGTTGTTTCTGGCGAAGTGATTGTTTATAACGCATGCGTTATCGCAGCATTAGCATATGAACAGTGCATTTTCATTGGCTGGTGGAGAGTGGAATCCAGTGTTTGTGTGTGACTATTTTGGTTGTCAATCGTGCAGATCTCGCAGAATGTTCATGCGTCAAGAAAACTATTTACTGTCGGATTAATCTTGTACTCATTGCTGCTACTCTGTACACTAGCGAGTAGATGCATGCCACCAAATTTTAATTTCGAATTCGAACTTCAATTTTTGCACATATGGCAATGCCTTTTAGTGTATACACCGTCATGTATTATGTATATAAGATTGATCCCTTTTGCCCTGAAACACATATGGTCAAAATTTAAGCAGCTCCACAATGATCAGTGGCTATGCCATTCAGGCCTACCAGTAGTATGTGCTTGCATGTCTGGTTCATTATCTTACCTATGTTGTCAACTTGAAAGATTTTTCATACAATCAAATTAACTTTCATTACAAGTACATATTAGATCGTCTGAAATTTTAAAAACGATTTTAAGATACAACTCGCAGCAACACCATAAGAAAAGAGTGGCTGATTGGCACTGGATCTTAGTGGGAACTTGGAAGCAAATTGATTAAACAGTGTACCTCGCCATTCCATTCTTCATCCCCTCACTTCAATTGGGCCAGTTCCCTCAAGAGCCCATCAATATCTTTCGTAGAAGTCCCACCAACATTAACAGCTTCGAAGGCCTTATTTCTCAACTGCTTTGCCATTTCCATCCGAATTGTGTCCCCCCTCATGGACTCGCCAATCGTTTTAGCTAAAGCAGTTGGATCGGGTACTGTCTCAGGACCCTCGCAAACTCGAACCCCAGCTCCAATGTAGTCAACTAACAATCTTTCGTTCATATACTGGTCAGCTTCCATAGGCCAGCCCAATATCATTACTCCGGCCTCTATTGCTTCCAACATCGCGTTCCCACCACAATGACACAAGAACCCACCTACGGCTCGATGATTCAATATAGCTACCTGTGGAGCCCAACCTTTCACAACTAGCCCTCTCCCGGAGACCCGATCCTCGAAGCCATCAGGAACCGAGCCATATCCCTCGTCTACTTGTTGAGCTGTTAACTGCTTAACAACCCAAATGAAACGCACTCCGCTGCCTTCAAGCCCAATTGCCAAAGCCTCCATCTGGGCCTTCTTGAGAAACTTCTGGCTCCCAAAACAAACATAAAGAACTGACCCATCAGGCCAACCATCAAGCCATTGCAAGCTGCTACTACGCCCATCAGCCGACTGCAGATACACATCTCCCCGGCCCACCTTCTCAGGGACACCAATCAAATTCAGCGGCCCAATTGCAAAAACGCGCCCATGGCCCATTTTCTTCTTCCACCATTCCAAATATTCACCCTCTAACGCATCAAAAGTATTAAAAACAGCTCCCCAACTCTTACTATTTGCAGCAATAGACCACCTTACAACCAAAGAATCCTGATCCGAGGAATTATCCCTACATCGTCGGAAAACCGAAGGAAGATGGTGCCAGACAAAACTAGGAGACCTGGGTAAATCCGAAAAATTTACCACACCCACAGAACTAGTAATAGACTCAAAATTAAGCCACAGATGTCGCACAACCGCCATAGAAAATGCCCCACATGGGTAAAAAACAATTCTAGGAATCCCAATTTGATGGGCTAAATTTTCAGTCCAGCCAAGGAAGAAATCAGAGATGAGGACCACAGGAGGGCTGGGGTGGGACTTAAACCACTGGATGATTTGGTCATGGAGTTTGGAAAGTGCACTGATTATTGGTATATTCCCATGATTTCCTATGTCCCTGACATTTTCTACCCCAGACGGGATTGAGGGGTGGGGTGGGAATGGAAAGACTAGCGTTTGGATTGAAGGATGAGTTGAGAGAAGTGGGTTCAAGATTGGGAGGTTTTTGGGTGTAACCAAAATGGTAATGGTCAATCCACGGAGGGCCAGTTGATGGGTGAAATCTAGCATTGAGAGGATATGACCTTGAGCTGGGTAGGGGAAGACTAGAACATGGACGCCATTTGCAGAGATTGTGGACATGGTTTGGGTAGGCCACCTTAAGGCTAGTGGGGGAAGAGTTTGAGAAGAAATTGGAGACGAAAGACTCTGAAGTGAGGGATAGACAGGAAAGAGGAAATGAATGCATTATTTGCTTTGGCAGTTGTACGGGGGAACCTGGGATAGTGGGATGCATTATTGCAGAAATCTGGTGGATTTTTTTTTTTTTTGTTGGAGATGATATAGCTTAATCCATTCTATATTAAAAAAAAATTAAGGAGACTGAGGAATAACTGAAACACAACTCGTTCACTTAAATTTTTTGAAGCAAATCACTTAAATATGTCATTTTTTATGACCTTGCCTCCCCTCCACCGAGCTGGTGGAATTCGTAGAAGACAATAATCAATCAATCATGGTGGAATTTGTTATGTGCAATACTGCAAAGTCAAGTCAGCGTGTCATTTTGGTCTTGGAAATTCCTTTTTTTTTTCTTTTTAAATAAATGGCGAAAATAGTTATCAAAATACTATCTAAAGTGGCATGGTATGGTCCTCCAATAAATTTTTTTTTTTGGTCAAAAAGGTTACTCAATTTTTTAAAATGGGCATTTTGTATCATATGGTCTAATTTAGTCGGTAAATGAATTGAAAAGAAGTACATTTGACTTGTTATTATAGATTTTGAGCGGCAAAAATTGCCTCAATTGTAGGTCATTTTTGGTTGATTTAGTACAAAATGATCTAAAAACCTTGGGCCTGTTTGGAACCCCAAGTTTTTAGAAAGTTTATATAATATTAGTTTTTTAACAACTTTTGCTACAGGAACCCCAAAAAACTTATCAAAGTTTTTAACCTACCCACCTCAAAAATATTTCAAAAACTTTTGAACAAAAAATCTAATACACAAAAAAATTTTAACCAACCCACCACTCCAACCACCACCTCCACCGGCGCCGGTCAACTCAAAAAATTTTAATTTTCTGACCCTCTCCTCCCCTCCCCTCTTCCCCTCTCTCTCCCCCGTCATCCTCTCCCTCCCCCTTTGCGTTTGATTTCAGTAGGGGCATCAACGGTGGAGGTAGCAGATGACGATGAGGGTTTCAGAGCTCCAACGTCCCCCAGTCACAAAATCCCAGTGATCACACAATGCCCATCGGCTCCCAAGAAAACCACACAAAAATCAAACCCAGCATCCATAAAAAGAAAAGGTTCTCCAACAGCAACACGTCGAGCCCTTCATCTTGATCTGTCCTCAGAGGTTGAGTCAATGTTCCCTCCACTGATTCAAGATGATGATGTGGACGGCAAAATCAAGAAAGCTCGATGAGATCATGTTCATAATTCGGGCGAATAAACATTGATTATCTATTTTTCCATTGCGATCATCTTCCTCTGGCGTCGGAGTGCGAGGGGGAGGGGAGAGGAGAAGGAAAGAGGGAGAGGGAGGAGGGGAAGAGAAAGGGCCAGAAAATTTTCCCATGGCATGCGTCCGGTGACCAGATCCATGGCTGTGGGGAGGGGCAGGGTGGCGGGAAAGGGGGAGGAAAGTGGGGAGAGAAAAAGCAAAAGGAAAAAATCCATGGCTGCAAGTTCTCATGGCTGCTGACGGTGACGGGATGGGGGAGGAGAGGGACAGAGGGAGAGGGAGAGGGAGAAGAGGGGGAGAGAAAAAGAGGGAAAAAAATTTCCATGGCTGCTGGTTTTTGCCGGTTAGAGGTAGAGGTGCCGGGGGAGGGGAAAGAAAGAAAGAAAGAAAGAAAGAAAGAAAGAAAGAGAAAAGGAAAAAGAAAAAGAAAAAGAAAAAAGTTTTTTATCCTAAAAATTTTTCTTACAACTTCTACAGTAATCTACAGTAAATTTTAGACATACACCCAAAAAACTCAACTTCCAAACAGGCCCCTTATTTTAAGGAGTTAAGTAACTTTTCTGGTAAAAAAAAAAAGAAAAAGAAAAGGCTCGCTAACAACAGCATGTCATTTTAAATAGTTTAGAGACCATTCTCGTCATTCACCCTTTCTTTTTTCTCGAGTAGAAACTTTAATTTTAAGATATAAATCTACACCAACAACGTATCTTTATTGTCAATTTTTTTTAACAATGTCGCATTCCAATCCAAATGAAGTGTAAACAATAGGCCAATTATTCATAGGTATACGCTCAGATGCTTCAAGAATATACGTTGCTATAGTGATATTAAATAGCAGCAAAATTATATGGAAACTCGGGTTGATGTTGATGCTTTCAACAACTATTAATTAATTTAGTAAATTGGATCACAGAAGAAAAGTAGTATTTTGTTATGAAAACTGATTAACTTGTAAGGGTACTCTTGCAACAACATCTATGATATGATGATACTCTTTTTAATGTTTTGTTTTGCCTACAAAATTTCCTCCAAAAACTAATTTTGAAACATACCCCTTCAAAAAACCCCAAAAAAAAGAAGTAAAAAAGTTGAATTGAACTGTACTTAAATATTGAGACAAAGATTAGAAGAAGAAGAAGAAGAAGAAGAAGAAGAAGAAGAACAAAGAGAAACGTGGGCGCCTTTTATAGCTAACCAATTCTGTTTCAAGGATGAAACAAATTAAATTTGTTGTTAAGAAAAGCAGCTAAACAGAAGTCTGCTAGACAAAGGTTGATGAACTGACAAAAATCTGGAAAACGAAAAGAACATCAGAAAGGTAATTCATTAATAGTAGCTAAATCACTCACTAATGGCAAAAAGAAAGTTACTGCAGAAAACAAAAATGATGGATACATTTTTTGTCTGTTAACCGTAAAAAGGTCAAGATTAAGTGGACATCTTCCTTAGAATGCTCAGTTGTTTCTAGGAGGATGGTGCATCGGTCCCCTATAATCAGCAGTGAAAGCTCCAAATCCACCCAACTTCTTCTTTTCCGAGAGGAGGCTTCTCATCCTTAGCTTACCTTTGACAACGTTGACAGACATCTGCCTTTGCTCTTCAACACTTGCCCTTGATGATGTTACACGAGTTTCTTGATATTGGCCACATCCATTCACCTTCTCTAGCCTGATTTTGCGTCCTCCCAAAGCAGATTTTCTCAAACCACTTCGATTCTGCGAACCATCTGCTGCTAATGGCTATAAAGCAAAAAGCACTAGTATCAGGCTATTACTAGTGGCGAAGGCCAAAATTTAAGAAAACATGTGTATATGATAGAGTAGGATCATTTTAGCATTGGGACGCAAATTGTGAATTTTTCTGCAACATATAATGCGTAGCATGCATCGACTGGCATTGTGAGAGTAAATACTTCAGAATTTCTTGGCTACTCCTCTTATTTTGACTGTTGAAGATGATGAAGAATAGATTCTACTATAACGTCCAGTACAAGTTTGTAAACAATTTTACCAACCTCTCCAATTGAAGCTGCATTGCATCCTCCAGCTGCCATTTTTGGACCTACAAATTAAATCATGGGAACAAAAGAATTACATTTGTGGATTTATAAACGAAAAGGATATTGTACATTCATTAACGTCCCTTTCCTGATTTTCTTTTTACATAAAGGACTACAAAATCTAAAAAGAGAGATGGATGGCAAGAATTGTATATATATAAAGAGAAAAAATCACCTTCCGGGGAATATGCATTTGAGAGCTTTCCTTCAGACAGCACTAAAATTAGTAGCAGAAGTGTGACCTTTACAGATACCAGCATCTCTTGATTTCTTCTGTTGAGTGTATGTCCCTCGTTCAAGCGTACGTATAAATTAAGGAAGTGGAGCACAAGCTTCGAGCATGAGCTTTATAAGGAATGAGAACAAGTCAAAGATATGGTCCAAAAGTTTTCAAACTTCCACAATCCCTAGATTTTACAAAATACTATGCTTCTTTTGTGTTGTAAAGATGTTAATTTAATTGGCCATGATCAGTTAGCTGAAAATAAAGAAAAGGAACTTTTCCTCATAAAATGTGCTATACATGTAACTCTGTGATGATCCATGTGTCAGTTAGGCTCCCAGTTCTAGGATCTCCATACAATTTAGTTGCCAGAGATTCAAAAAGGTTCTCAGCACTTCTCCTCCAATTGGAAATGGTGACTCTAAATTCTACAACACATTGTCATATTACACTAGTACGTTGGACTAAATGGACTAAATGGATGTTTCTTCACTTCAAAGTTGAGAGTCAGGGTAAACTAATTAACTTAGTAATCTAATAAATCACTAATATAATGCTTAATTACCTTTTTTTTAAGAATAAGATCAATATTTTCTTGGAGCTCTTTCAAAATTAGATTTTATAATCGATGGCCACAACACAGATCTTTCCGGAGAGTAGACAAACTTATATTTATTGTCCCACTTTATGCTTAGATATGTTCCCTATTTTACTCAAAATTTTTTCAAAAGCTAACACTTGACAGCCCTCTTAGCTAGTGCACTAAAAAGACTCGTTAGACCATTTTTCTAAACTTTAGTGTGAGTACCAGTCTTGACCATCTCGGACACCATTTAATCGGATTTGATGAACGATTTGGTGCAATTTCTTTCTTCGCAACCATTTTTTGGTTGAACACACAGAGATGGTTTGCATATGGGCCGCAGATTTATTTGATTACTGTGGTTTTGCAGTGGTCCAAAATGAAGTGAAAACTGGTTGATGATGGGATTGGGAAATGGAAACTCCGCCCCATTGCTTGGGACTGAAGACGAAGATATAAGTAGTGTTTCGCGCTTGTCTGCCCCATGCATCTGCCAATCGAGGTCTCTACTCATTTCCATGCTAGTGCCTTCAACTTAGCTTTCCTATGTGCTCTACTCTCCTTATCACCATTCATGGTGGACACTTCTTGGACCTCCCACGTTGGCAGCGACAAACAAGAAGATACATATGTGAATAAACAAACAAAAGGCGGACCTTCACAAGTTTTTTTTTTTTTTGCATTAAAATTCAAGAACCTAGCTGCAAACTTCTGGTTGAGATACGAATCACTTCGTAAGAATCTGTTCTTTTCATTGTGCAAAAATTGTGCACGTTGGAGTGTGAATTTAAATGGCGATCTCTTTAGTTTTCCAAGAACTTTTCTTTGTTTTTTTGGGAGTTTCTGCAATAATCTTTTTGTAGCTTGGCTGAGAACATGAAAGTTGGACACTTCCATGCACTCCCACATTGGTATTAATTAATTAACAAGCCAGAAAATCCATACTCATGATATTAATTGTCGACAAAATAAGCAATAAACTAAGAGGCCGACCTTTTCCTCACGTTCATACGTTTTCATGAACCTGTAAAAACTTCATACCAATCTGTTAAGATCGGCAAGTTTTTAGTTTTCCTCCTTTTCGCTAAATCCTTCATCTAATTATGCAAATGTGGTACGCATCTCAGGGACCTGAACCAGCATGTTTCTTTTATAATTTTCCGAGTAAGTTTTCCTAATTTTGGAGCTCCTGTGAAAATCTTCTTGTAGCTTGGTGGACAACTTTTAAACAACCTTAATTTGCAGGTCTCTGAGGGATAAGAAGACGCTCTATTGCTTTTGGTTTGAGCTGCAAAAGCGACATTAACAAGTAAGTGCACTAAAACTCTATAATGTGCATTGGCTTCCGCAGATTTGCATTGAAAATTAACGGTTGTATCATGCATACACGTCTTGGCACTCAAGGAATCCACAAAAACTGGCCTTGGCCTTGTGTAGTTAGGCTTAGGTTCCGTTTGATAAAACTGAATCTGAATTCTAAAGTCTGAATTCTGAAATATGAATACTGAAACAGTTAATTTGCTGAATTTTAAGCACTGAAAAAAATATATGAATGTAAGGGTGTGCAAACTCGAAAAATTTCGATTACGGAACTGATTTCGAATTAAATTCGGAATTTCGAATTCGAAATTTCGGTAATTCGGAACTGAAATCGGTAATTCCGTTTCGAATTGGTCGAAATCGGGTCAAATTTGAAAACAAAAATTTTGAAATCGGAATTATCGATTTCGAAATAGGAATTCAAATTAGGAAATTCGATTTCAATTTCTAATAATAATATTTAAATATAATTATAATATAATAGTTTTTAATATAACAAGTAGCTTCTGTCTGCTTCCCTATCAGATGTCAAAAGCCCTAATCTCTTAACTCACCTTGAGCTTTCACCGCCTCATTTCTTAGAGTCTCTCATTCCTTCCTCTGTCTCCGCCGCTTGATTCACCAACTCAGCTTGCTCTCTCTCCCTCTCTTTCACAATTTCACTGCCTCTCTCACTCACCGCATCCATCGCCTCTTTCACCTCACTACCTCAGAGATTTCCACTGTCCTTAGCATCACACCTTCATCTTTCTCACCAGTTCTTCAAGCCCGACAGAGACAGACACCATTAGCCTTCATATTCAAGATCATCGGACATCTTTACGCCATTTTCACTCTTCATCTTCAAGCCATCATCAGCCTTCACTTGAAGAGGACATTATGAGGTACGCCAGTGATTTTACTCACCTTTTTCATCTATATTTCTAGTTTATTTTTCTTAGGCATTTCATCAAGTAGCTTCCAAGCACGCGGTATAGGTTCTGGTTATGATTTTTGGTTGGATCTTTGGTTATGATTTTTGTTTCAGCGGTTTTTATTAGAGATGAACATTCCATATTTTATGCAATTTGTTGGCTTATGGTGTTAAATAGTACATTGAAAACTGGGTACACTGTAGTGCACATAATATAATTCAAGCCGGTGACTGATTGTTGTTGCAAGCTACAGTATGAACTTTTGCAGGAAAGATTTTTTATTTTTGATCGAGTTTGGGTTTTCTGGGCTCTTTGATCGACTTGTTTTTACTTGTGCATTCACTTTGAACAGGTTTTCCGTTTTTGAACAAGAGAGGAAAGGGCCAAAAAAAAAATGAATTCGGTGAATTCAGAATTCATCGAATTCCGAATTAAATTCGGTAGCGAATTCGAAATCGGCATTAGCCATATCAAAATTGAATTCAGTCGGGAAAATTAAGGCCAAAATTTCGAAAATTTTCGATTTCAAACTTCCGAATTACTGCTTTCGAATTCGATGCATACCCCTATATGAATGTCTGAATTTTAATACTAAATCTATTTATACTGTTTGATAAATATTTATAACTGAATGCTTAATAAATTTAATTTGACAATTTTGCCCTTATATCCTTTCATTCAAAAAAGAAATAGAATCTATCATTTAATTAGTTTAAAATTGTTAGGTATGAAAATGACAATATTTATTTTTAAATCAAATTAATATAAAATATGAAATATATTATACGAGGAGTGTGGAGAATATGTGAAAGTGATTAAAAAGGGAGAAAAGAGAAACTAAAAATCATTAGATAGAGAATACTATATTGTTTAATTAGATAAGAATTTTGAACATAATCAACAAACAATGGTAGATTTGATAGATAAGATAAGGTAACTGAAGTAATTCGATTGATTCTTATCAGAATTAAGTATTCAGTTAGGATTCTTGTGCTGAAAAAAATACATATAGGTTCAGCACTGCTTAACAAGTTCAGCAAATAGATTTTCATTTATCAAACACTTAAAACATCTGAATGTCTGAAAAAATTCAAATTCAGCACTTTTTTATGTTATCAAACAGACCCTTAGTGCGAAGAATCCGAATTCCAAAATAATGCTGATAAATTAACACCCCAATAGCCCTGCAATGTTTTTTTTTTCAACACCATAGGTATCCAAGTTTATACCCGACTAATTCCGCAGTGTTCAAATAGAATGAATCAGATCGATGCCTGAAACGATAACAACTGAAACTCGAACCAAAGATGTTGGTAAAGATCCCAAGTGGTAACCAGCCTAACTATTCCAGCGTGGGCCCCTGCAATTCTTCATTCGAGAGCAAATGTTTGTAAAGTCAAAACAACAATTAGCTCCAAAAAAACACTAATCAAACTGTATTAGTCAAATTTCCTGAAATTATAAAGCGTGAATCATGTGTGCAAATCTGTCGTGACTTATAAAATTATGAGTCATGACTTATCTTTACTATACTAAAGGTGCGAGTTAGAGTTGCTACAGTGAAAATGGGCAGGTTATACCGTGATTTCTGTGAGCTTGAGGGGCAGTTTGGTCTGTTGTGATACAGTGGTGGTGGCTTTTGTCATTCAGTGGTGTGAGCGACAAGAGAAAGAACTGCTTCTTTTCTTCAACAAAAGAAGTGTCAACATATTGGTGGCTTTAGGATTTGCATTGAGTATACTTGATTGTTGCTCGGTTCTTCTGTAGACATTTATATAGCCTAGCTCTCAATCCGAAGATAGTTGGAGGCAGTGGGAGCTATTGACCCCACTGAAATTTATAATGTATATCCATAATTTTATCAGTTTGTCCCCATATTTAAAGTTTATTGTCCCACTCCCAACACTTGATATTCTTTGAACCATTAGATCTTGATCTCTAAAGATATATTTAAAAAAATGGATTAAAAAACTTGCGGGCATGTCTCACATATATATATCTATCTACCTACCTATACTAAAAGCGGGAGTTTGCAATTTGAGTTCAATTGATTTGGTCCGCTTATCAGGCTTGTGATTGGTTATTGCGAGTCCGATTATTCGTCACCATTTTATATCGGAATCGGACCTGGCATAACGAACATAGTCACCGCCCATCTTGAAATGCACCGTGAAGATTTTTTGGTATCATATATGAGGCTGCAAATGAATCGAGTCGAGT